TGGCAGCTGATCCAAGAGCTCGCTTTGCACTTTCTGCAACATATCCTTCATGTCACTATCCAAAGACTCCCAAGGCTCATCTTTTGTGGCTGGGGGCATCTCCGGCTTCTCTTCTGGCTGCTCCTTGCAGCCACTGCCCTCCGGGGCCTCGAGTGGCTGGGCTGCCTCGAAACCAGGATTCGAAGCGAAGCGACCCTTAAAGAGGTCCTTGTCCTCTGCGTCGAGGTTGGCCAGAATCTCATGCTCACTCTCGGCACTGTCCTCTTCTTCGTCGCTCTCCTTCTTGACGGCCTTGGTGCGAGGAGTCGGAGTCTGGAACAGCGACCGGGGCCGCTTCGTGGCGGAGCCATCCATCTCCTCGTTGTCCCCCTTGCATCTCTTCGACTTCGGGTGCGGCGTGCTTGCTGGCCCAGGGCTCTCCATGGAGGCCTTCTTCACGTCCTCCTGGGCCTCCTGCGAAACAACAAGACTAAGGCAGACGAGTGCAATGCAAGGCCAAGTTTATCAAGGAAAGACGACAAGGACGGGCTCGGGCTCACTCTTTTTTTGTCATCTGACACACATGTCACATGCTGTTGCGATTTTCGTCTCTGTGCAGGAAGATCCTATTCCGGTGACAAAATGCCACACCGCCACACATGTCGGTGGCAAAAAGGAAGCTACTAGTCCCACTTATCCCGACGTTCGCGACCACTGCCACTGCCACGGGCCCTCTTCCGGCTGTCACCATGCTTGTCCGCCTCCTTCTCGTGTTTGCTCCTGTCAGGGCAGCAAATGGCAAAGAAGAGACGAAAAAGACTTAGTTATTTAAAGCTCAAGTCCCCAGCCTCTTGTCTTCTGGCGGAGGGTGCGACGGCTCGGCGGGCTTCGTGAAGGCAGGCCTCGCCTTGGGCTTCGGGGGCAAATAGTCTCCTCTCGTCGCCTCAGCCGCTGTGCCACCCTTGCCGTAGCCGTCGACGGTCTCCGGCTTGAAGTGGATCCTGCCCAGGATCTCCAGCTTGGCTGTCTTGTTCAGAGTGAACCATCCAAGCCTCTTGTAGACCTTCTTGGTTGTCTCCTCTGGCCCCTCTGGCCCCTGCGGCTGCTTCGGCTCGTCCTTGGGCTTTGTCTTGTGCCCAGAGGAAGGCTCCTTTGGCCGTGGACCTTCGGTCGCCACCTCCTCCATTTCCTCTTCATCATTGTCGTCCTCTTTTTCATAGTCCTCATCTTTCAAAGGAGGCTCTGGAGTCTTCTCGGCTGCCGAGTCCTTCTCCTTCTCCTTCTCGGTCTCGGCAAGAGAAGACTGCTGCTGGGCCACCATGAACTGCATCTGGGCCATCTGAGCCAACATCTGCTGCATTTGAGGCAGCATATCCTTGGCCTGCATGGACATGAACGGCATATTCTCCATGTTTGGGCGCGAGAGCAGGGCCCACCTGAAAAGGCTGACAAAAAGTTCGTGCCCAGAAGAGCTGCAACATGAAGAGAAGCTCCAAGCCATGGGTGCTGTCACTACAAGAACAGACAGAAAGGCGAAGCCTGTCGAGACTGGTTTCATGCAAGCAAACCTAGACACAAATTGCAGCGACAGCAGACTGGAATCAGCATTCTTGTCCATTTTCAGAAGCAAGCAGAAGAAGGGGTCTGTGTCGGCCAAGCGAAACACGGCTCATTTTTTGCCTCATTTGCCCTTGCCCTTCTCCCTCTTCATCCATTGGCCGCCCTTGTACCCGTCGTTGATGTAGTCTCGGTGGCACTTGTAGCAGTTGTGAAATCCATCTTTGTGCGTCGAGCAGTCGCCAGGTCTGGTACAGAAGTTGACCTTGCAAGTGTTGCAGATCTCCCTCCAGCCCGGCCTCACATTCCACTCGTGCCACTGCTGCGTCGAGCCTTGCGGCTGCTCATCCTCCATGGCTGCTTCGCGTTCTTGGAGGGATTCTTCACGGTCTCGAACGGCCGCCTCTCGCGTTTCCAGGCTGGCCTCTCGCTCATCGAGCTCCTCGTCCCTCTTCTCGCGATTGCCTTCCTGCCACTCATCCAGCATCTCCTGCAGGTTCTTCTTGATGAACTCGAGCTGCTTGCGGTGGGGCTCGAAGTCACTCATGAGTCCCAAAAACAAGGGTGCAGCGGGGCGGAGAGCTATGCAGCTTGAGTTGGGCGACTGCTACAGACAGGTGGCTGGTCAATCGTCAGAAGTGTCGTGGACCGGACCAACAGCATTCAGCACAAATCAGAAACTGGCAGGCACTGCAGTACGACACCAGCACAAACACTTAAGCGGAGCTCCTTCCGAAGATCGGCGATGGTGTCGTCGTAGAGCTTTGTGATCTTGTCGGAGCTGAACTTGCATCTCCTTGGCCACACCAACTGGCTAGCTGAGCACATGGACCTCCTGCCTCTACCAAGAGACAATGAGAACATGGAAGCCAAGGAACCGTTTCGCGGATTTCAGCAGACTGACAAGCAGCGAAGTCACATCTTCCATCGTCCGGGCATTGCCGACTGCGATGTCCGAGGGCTTCTTGCTCAAAACTCAGCTCACTTAAAATTCAACTCGGGTGCCGAACACACAGCAAAGCATGCACGGCTATTGTTGCACAGTGTTTCTTTACATGTGGCTTCCAAGATGCGAGTTTCCAGGAGACTCTCGAGTCTGTTCTTCCAGATGTTCCCGGCCAGATTCATCTGGAAAGGACTCAACTAGACGACACGAGAGCAGAGACTCACTGCTGGCCCAAACACACCCAAACCATACACCGCCTTTGCTGTGCTCTGGTTCTGACCCGCGATGTCCTTGGACCTCTTGCAGCGATGTACGGCTTGTGCATAGAGAGCCTCCTTAGACACAGGTGTCGGTGCTTCGCACACTAGCAGCAGCACTTTCCAAGACCTGCTTCAATGGTCCTGAACTGCTTCTTAAGACAAGGCAAGCTGCGTACTCACCTCCTATGCTAAGGAGGTCGGCTGCGGAAACCCAAGGGGCCATGTTCGTCATGGCGACAGCCATCTGTTTGCTGCTCAGATCCGAGAAGCGGATCTGGGCACCGCCACGAGTCCACTCCTTCTGGGTCATCGCAAAGATGGACAGGAGATCGGATGTTTCCTCCTTGCCATCAGCTGAGTCTTGGCTGGAGGATGAATCAGAACCTCAGCTAAAGCGACATTCCAGAGAGGCGTTGATTCGATTCAATCAACGACCACATGACATGTCTACATCGTATCGGAAAGCGTTTCTTCTTTTTCTTTTCCTTCTTGGCAGCGACGGGAGCCTGTGGCTCGAAGCCACCTGGAGCAACTATTTTCCAGCTCAAAGACAAAAGACATCTGCAGCAGTTCTGTCACTTTGTCATTCGGAATGCATGAAGGAGGCTGCCTGTCGACAAAGCCCTCGCCAGTCGAGTCTGAGCCGAGGAGAGCAGAAACGTGGATGCCTCCTTGGTATCCCCCTCTGTCGCCTCCAAGGATCGGGTGCTGTTGGTCCTCGATAGACGAGCTACAAAAGGCGTAGACCCGCCCTCCGGGAAATCTCATGAGTAGACGACTTAGAAGACAGTATGTCTCGGTGTGTCCTTGCGGGGCCACGACCTCTCATCGCCAGCTCTGGGGCACGAAAAGACTGCCCGTCACTCAGAGTCTAAAGCGGCCCCCGGCAGCTTGAGTCATTGATTGAATCGAGTCAGAGCGAGTCGCGAGACTTGAGACATCACAAGTTCTAAGCGTGGAGGTGCTGCAGAATTTCAAACTTCGCACTGTCAGAGTCTTTTTTCTGCATCCTCCTGCCGTATGAGTTCTGCCGACGACAAAGACACACCGAGTGCGGCTACTCCGCAGCTGGCAGCTGAAAAAGTGAGATCTGAGGCCAGCCAGGCCCAATGACAAAACTCGCCGAGGTGATTAATTTATTGAGAGAAGTATTCCTAGCCCATGACTAAGTTGACTCATGATTCCAGTCCAGAGCACTCATCAAAAATAATTCAGATGACCAAGAGCTTTATTTAGCATAATGCAGCACAGATACAGATCGGGTGCGAAGGCGATGTGTTTCTTTGACTTGGCCAGGACCAGCAGGTCTCGTCTACTCTATCCATCCTGAAATTCGCAGCCGAGGTTCACTCACTGGATTCACTGAAGCTCCAGTGAAGAACTTGTGCAACAGGGGCCAAAACCGCGACCTCGATGCTGAAGACTTCCACTCTCTGTCAGCAGGCACAGCAATTATTCCAAGAGTGTTTCAGTACCGAAGACAAACCACTGCAACCAGCCACGTCACTGCTGCCATCGATGCCCAGCTGCATCCTGCCGTGTGTCAGCATGACTGTCGGCATCTTGTCTCAGGCTCTTTTACGAAAGCTCAGGAGAAGAAACAAAGACGGTCCTTCCACCAAGGCTCAGAGGTCAGCCAGCTCGGGATTCGAATCGTCTTAGCCCTCGGGGCAAACCCCCCACCCGCTGTGAAACCAAGAAGAGAAAATGCGATCACAAACAAACAAAAAGACCTCGGTCCTGACATTGATTCCATGGTACGAAGCTATATGATTCGCGAACCAGGCACAAGCATCTCCCAATCGTCCGGTGCGGCAGCAGGAACCGGGTTGGCAGGTCGCGGATCAGGGGCCTGCTCAGTCAACGGTCTTATGGGTGTTTCCTGTTAAAGACTCAACGTGCCAACTGGCATCGGGCCAATCTTGCAAGGTTTGCATGGTTCTCAGACTGAAGAAGACTTTGCTCATGCTGGGAAGACACAAGCCAAGGAAAGCTCGCGGCTAGTCCGCGGAGACAAGACCAAGGTCCTGTGAGACTTCTTCTTGTCTCTGAGTCATTATGAAGATTGAGATTCAAGCCACAGAAGTTTCGCGGCTAATCCGCGGAGACAAGCCATGAGTCAATGAGACGAGCAGAGTTCGTGTCTTCTGAGACAAGGAGACAGCTGCAACTCAAAATTCAAAAAGCTTTCTCGTGAAGCCCGAGTCTCGCTGTGCCTGATACTATGCCAGGTGCAAACTGAGGCGGTGGCGGGCTGCCTACAATCTAAGCTCTGGGGCCCCTGCCTCGGCATCGCCGCCCGGAGCCCCCGGTCGAAGAAACTGGTTCACCTCAAGGAGGAGGAACACATGACAGTCGAAATGCAGTGGTGCTCGGCACGATTCTCGAGTTCAGGATCCTCGTCGGGTTTCCGGATAGCGTGTCTACTAAATAGCAGACATCTCAGAAATGAGTATTCTAAAGTCGCAAAATCGAATCACATACACTAGAGTCTTGTGGCCCAAGACAACACTCACAGACAGAGCAACCACCCTAAGACAGCAGAGCCCAACTAAATCAATTGAGACCCTGCCTGCAATGCTTGAAAGCTTGTCACTGCCAGCTTCCAGCCACGAACATCCGTTGGCCTTTGTGCCGTCACATCCAACCTGAAACGATCATCCTTGTCCTGGGTAAGAAGGGAGACACCACATGAATGAGAACAGCACGACAACTCTACTAACTACCAGTTACAAATAGGACCCAAGTGTTCTTTTGCCGAGAGACCAGGGCAATCAGCAACGATACCACTCTTCGAACCGTATGCTCTGCCGATTCCAGCAACTGCTCCGGCTCGGCGTTCTTTTCCATTTCCACAAGCTGTCCAACCTCTCACAGCCAAGTACCAGACACGGCCATCACCAATGCTCTCTCGATGCACCAAAGTCACAAACTGAAAAACTCCTTTATTTGGTAAGACAAGAGACAGCAAATGCAAACCCCAGTGGATACATCGGCTCCTCGTCGAATTCGTCACGGCTTCCACAAGAGCGAGCCGTCGTTGCACGGTTCAAGTACCTAGGATAGTGGACTGCATGTTCTTCTCAGACTCAGAAAGCAACACTCCAGACAAGCAAGACATTCCAAACGGCTTCAGATAGGTGGCACAAATCGCAGGTCGGGGGTCTTCCCCACAGCATTGATCGCTCGCAGGAGGTAGTGGTGCGTACCGCATAAGCACGTGGGCTGCCTTATTGAAAACTCTCGCAAGTCTCGGTGTGAACACAGATGCTTCCTAACAAACCTCAATGTTTGAAAGCCAGGAAACAAAAGACCGTGCCCGAATGCCCCCATTGGGAAGAACACCTTCTCGGCTTGAATGGCGTCCACTGTAGCCTCGGATGCAGACAAGGAGACAGTTGCAGCAAATAAGTCCTCTAGGAATCTAAGTCTAGGCAAGAATTCTATTTATTCGAGTCGAGACAAAAGGCGAGGATTGCAGCCGACTGGAAGAGGCTGCTGCTTCGAGGTTGTTCTGTCACTGTGTAGCAGCCGATATTGAAGCACAGCTGCATCATGTTTGCCTCCCAGTCCTTAAGGTTCTCCGATCGTTGAGCAAAATCATGTGGATACCAATTATTTAGTCGAGCCTCACAGGAGACATCGCCCTGCCGAGGCTCCAGAAACCCTCGCCTCGGAGACAAGAAAGGCTTCTGAATCCAAGAAGCAAGACTTTGGGAGGTCCGGTGGATCATTTGCAAAGCCGAGACTCCCAGCAGCTGGAACTCTCTTTGGAGATCCCCAGCGAAGGCCTCCAGGGCGTAGTCGCAGCACATAGCCAACACCTCGGATCTGCAGAAAACTATCTTGGATCCAGCAACGGTCATGGAACACGACATGGAGCCAAGAAAAAGACTCATAAATAAAGTCAAGCTACAGATCACTTTATCTTGATAAGTGGCGAAAGAGCTCTCCAGGGCCATTGTTCGCAAGCCCGCCTCGGATATCAAAGTTGTTTGCTTGCTTGCAAATAAGTATAAGACGAAGAGACGAAGACAGAGCTATCTGGAGACGAGAAGCACTGTTGCATTCATCCACCAGTCTGTCCTTTCCAAGGCCCTCGTAGCACAAAAGAACATCCAAGTTTCGCCGCTGGTGGCTCCGGCTGACATAATCAGCATCATCCAAAGCCCACGAGAAAAACTCCCTGATCAGCAGATGCAACCACACCGGAAGCCCTCTGCACAAAGGGGAGCTCTCCATGGCCCCTACCTTCAAACCTGGAGCCAGACACCTGAGAGACCAGACATTGTCAAGACAAAAGTCGCAAACATAAGCTAGACGAAGCAGCAGGCTCACCAACATAAGACATTCGAAGCAGCAGGCAAAGTTGAAGCAGCAGGCAGGTCGAAGCAGCATGTATATCGCCACCCTTGATCTAAGCCCTAAACCCTAAACCCAAACCCCTAAACCCTAAGTCTATGGAGCAGCCGGACATGGGGCAGGCGTTGCGCAACATAGCGACGATACTCCTCACGAGGTATCCGGCAGGCGCTGGAGCGCGAGTCCCTAAACCCTAAACCCTAAACCCTAAGCCCTGCGTCCTAAACCCTAAACCTCAAAACCCTGAACCCTAAACCCTCAACCCTAAGTTACTAAGCCCTAAACCCTAACCTAAACCTTAAATTCTAAACCCTAAACCTTAAACCCTAAACCCTAAACCTTAAACCCTAAACCCTAAACCCTACCTAAAGTCTCCATTGTAGTTTCTTTTTGGGGTTACCTTTGAGGATCCTTAATATAGATTTGGTTAAACCAAAAAAAAGAACTACAATGGAGACTATAGGTAAACCCTAAACCCTAAGCCCATCCTCACCTCGGCGGAGTGGTGATGCCAAAGGCGGACTCGGAAGCTGGAGTCGAGCGACTGCTGAAGCCCTGTGAGAACCCGATATGGGTAGTTCTCTAAATCAGGGTTTAGGGTTTACGTGTCTTAGGGTTTTGGGTTTTAGGGTTTAGGGTTCAGGGTTTTAGGGTTCAGTGTTTAGGTCTAAATCAGGGTCTTAGGGTTTAGGGTTTAGGTTTTTGGGTTCTAGGGTTTAGGGTTCAGTGTTTAGGCCTACATCAGGGTCTTAGGGTTTAGGGTTTAGGTTTTTAGGGTTTCAGGTTTAGGGTTTATGGTTCAGTGTTTAGGTCTAAATCAGGGTATCAGGGTTTAGGGTCTAGTGTTTGAGGGTTTAGGGCTTAGGTTTTGGGTTTTAGGGTTGTAGGGTTTTGGGTTTAGGGTTGAGGGTCCTCAATTAGGAAAACTACCCTTATGGATCCCCCCTTCTAGTGCCCTTTACAGAAACAATTTATAGATCCCTTAACGAAAAAACCCTAAAACCTAAACCCTAATTTAGAGAACTACCCGTATGTGCCACCGTAAAGGCTCAATGACTAGACCCTCGGAGTTTCCTGACGGTTCTCCGACCCCCCATGTTTCCCCCTAGGCCCCTTAGACCCTGAACTCTAGACCCTAACAAACCTAAAACCCTAAACACCTAAACCGTAAACCCTAAACCTTAAACCCTAAACCCTAAAAGCCTAAGCCCTTAAACCCTAAACCCTTAAACCCTAAGCCCTAAACCTTAAACCCTAAACCCAAACCCCTAAACCCTAAAGCCTAAGCCCTAGCCCTACCCAACCAAGACCAAGGCTGCGGAAGCGATGCCTATCCGATGTGGCGGCATCTCCGGCGGACCCTGGAAAGGCAGAGGACCCGTCTCCTTCTCTAGGGGTTTACCTACTAGGGTTTAGGGGTTTAGGGGTATAGGGTTTGGGGTTTAGGGTTTAGGGCCGTTTAGGGTTTAGGTTTGGGGTTTAAGGGTCTAGAGTTTGGGGTTTAAGGGTTTGGGGTTTAGGGTTTAGGGCTGAGGGTTTGGGGTTTAGGGTTTAGGGTTTAGGGGTTTAGGTTTTAGGGGTTCAGGGTTGAGGGGTTTGGATTTAGGGTTCAGGGTTTAGGGTTTAGGGTTTAGGGCTCTTGGCGTTTATGCTGTCGGATTTGGATTTACTTTATATAGAGTGCAGGGTAGAGGGCTTCGTTTACGAATATCAGATGGTCGCCCTTCCACGCTGAACCTAACCCCTAACCCTCCCTAAACCCTTAAACCTAAACCCCTGGCCCCAAAGTACAAACCCAGGGATCACTTTCATGCAAAAGCTCACACAATTTGGGCACATGGACCCGTAGGGCAGCTTAGATAGACCTAAACCCTAAACTTTACCTAAACCCTAAACCCTAAACCCCAAAACCCCTAAACCTGAATCCTAAACCCCTAAACCCTAAACCCTGAACCTGGGGTTGGCAGGAGGCGTCATCTCCGGCAGATCCTCCCGACGAGTTCCCGCGCAGGCTTTCTCACCTCCCGGCCCTCGGGTTTTGGGTTTACCCATAGGCCCCCAAGTAGTTCCTTTTTTATGGTTGATATTTCGAATCCTATAAAGTAATCCCGAAAAGGAACTACTTAGGGGCCCATGGGTAGGGTTTAGGGTTGTAGGGTTTGTGGTTTGGGACGCATTTTTCGAGTTTCAAGTTCTGATCTAGCTAATCCTAGACTGCAGAACCCCTTAATTAGACCCTAAACCTTCCTCCCTGAACCCCTTAGACCCTAAACCTTAAACCCCAAACCCCTTTGCCCTTAAACATTAAACCCGCATGAACCATAAGCCGCCCCCCCTAAAACTCTACTGTTACTAGCGAACTTCTTCCTGAGGCTTCAGGGATAGGAGTCCCGAAGGGAGAGGCAGCGAGCTTCAAAACAAGGATTCACAACAGGAGGTTTTAAGGTTTAGGATTTCGGGTTTAGGGGTTTAGAGGGTTTAGGGTTTAGGGCTTTAGTTCCGGGCTTAGGGGTGGTTCGGCGTTTCAGGGTTTTGTGGTCTAGGAGCGTAGGGTTTGCGATCCAGGCTTTAGCAGAGAGCCTTGCAATCATAACTGGGGTTCGGGGTTTAATCTAGAACATTTTCAGGTGGGTAGTTATACCGTTATAGGAGCCTTATAGAAGGTCTATATACCTTATGGAAGCCTTATAGAAGCCCCATATACCCTAAACTCCCCACCTGTAGTATAATTTAGGTTTAGTCACAGCTTGAACTCTTCTGTCTTAAGGCGGAAACTATCGTATGCAAGCTGTCGGAAGCGGTCGCAGTACACATGCGCCGCTTTGCTATGGGTTTATGAGTTATAAGCAGCAACTATTGTTTCGCTTTTATTCGAATGCAAAACAGCCTATGTGTTACCTGGACCCTGCTAGACAGGCCCAGAGCAGAGGCCATAAACCCAGAAAAGGTGGGTCTGTAGGTCCTCTAATCGTCCATCAATTCCCACGTCGACCGCCTAAATTGGCACCTTTCTTCGCCTCTTTTCCTTACCCTAAGGGTGCAAAGGACCTAATAATCATGTACTTGGGCTACGGATAGTAGTTTTGTAGGTTAGTATTCATAAGAGTATAGGATTATTCGGTACTTGGACCCTTAGGGTTACAACATGCATCAAGTGGCCCGGGGAGCCTCCTCCACTCCCCCAGTATTTTCACAGAGAGCATGCATCACGGGTTGCGAAGCACCAAAAAGGCAGAAAACCCATAGTAGCCGGTCAGCACCAGAATCTCAGAACCGTAACCCTGCACCCCAAGCCCCACGAGGTTGATGAAATAGCTACAGAACGATCAAACCATTGTAATCCGAAGTAACAGCTTGAATCCTCAAGTTCCTAAAGCCCCCTGAACCCTAAACCTCAAACCCTGAACCCGAAACCCTAAACCCTGAACTCTGAACTCTAAACCCTGAACCCTGAACCGCTACACAATCCGACAGTCCTATAGGATCTTGAACTTTCTTGAGTCTGCCATGGAGTAGGGTTTACCTGTGTCCCAAAAGACCTACCTTTTTAAGGAACAATCAATATATATGTATATATATATATATAGAAACCATAGTAAGGAACCCTACAAAGGTAGGTCTTTTCGGCTACAGGTAGGGTTTAGGGTGAAGGGTGACTTCACTGACATAGATATCGTGGATCCAACTTTTGTTATAGTTCGGGGGCTTTGGGCTGTACCTACGGGCCTAGGATTTAGGGTTTTAGTCTAGGCTTCCAGGGGATCTACCGTAAAATTGTGGGTTTCATCGTGGCTTGCTACATTGTTGCTACGATATTGTAGGGTTTGGAGCCAATACGAACATCAATACCGACGCTTGCAGTATCCTTTCTACCAACCTCTATGGCAAGGATTACAGCAACAGTTATGGTAACCCCATGTAGCAATGTAAGAACCTCCAAAGCAACTCTTCTGGCCAGATACACATAAGACTTACTACGGTACCTGCTGCCTGCCGATTACCGGCGTCCGTAAGCTTTTAATCCTGAGTTACTAGGCTTCGCTCCCATCACCAACCGGAACTGCCATAATTACTTGGACCCTAAACCCCTAAAACCCCTAAACCCTAAGCCATAAACCCCAAACCCCTAAACCCTAAGCCCTAAACCCCTAAACCCCTAAACCCTAAGCATTAAACCCTAAACCCCTAAACCCCTAAACCTCTAAACACCTAAACCCCTAAACCCCTAAACGCCTAAACCCTAAACACCCCGCGACTCCCGCAGGACTCGACAAAGGACGGCTGCGAGCTCCAGTGCCTCCGAGTCCGACTGAGCGGAAAAAAAGGGGTGACTGACGCTATAGGGTTTAGGACTTATAGGGTTTAGGGCTTAGGGCTTTAGGGGTTTAGGGTTTAGGGGTCTAGGATTTAGGATTTAGGGTTTAGGGGTTTAGGATTTAGGGTTGAGGGCTTAGGGTTTAGGGTTTAGGGGTTTAGGATTTAGGGCTTAGGGCTTAGGGTTATTTAGGGCTTAGGGCTTAGGGTTTAGGGCTTAGGGTTTAGGATTTAGGGTTTAGGGTTTAGGGCTCGGGGTTTAGGATGTAGGGTTTAGGGCTTAGGGTTTCGCGTTTAGG